GACCTTGACCTCAGGTCAAGTTTTCTGAAAATCTTGTGAATGCAATAACTTGAGAACGTAGGATTTTAAAATTGATACCATAGGTGTAACTACTAAAGTCTCAGATGAATTTGAATCTCAGTGACCTCGAACTGAAGGTCAAATTTTCTGAAAATCTTGTAAATGCAATAACTTGAAAATAAGCCAATTTTAAGTTGATAGGTGTGTCCACTAGGAGGCTGAAATAGCACTGGTAGTTGCCAGTATTTTTAATATACAGAAGGACTACACTGGGTTTAATGCATGATCTAATAGTAGAAATAATGAGAAGTGAATGTAGCTTTTGAAACCTTCCAAGCTGTGGGGCTTCCTACATGTGAATATTGTATTTGGTATTCACTACTTTCACTTACCATTTCAGTCCCTCTCCTTTTTCGTCTACTTTCAGTCCTCCAGTAAAGGAAGTTTCTTTCATTTGCTGGACACAGTCGACAATTTCAACTAAACTAGATCTAACCCAAAAAAAACCCCACTAGGACAGACAGCAGTGACGCTTCGGTGTGACAGATTGCTGATTCGGTTTAAAAGTTTGCTTGGACATGATAGGGGGTGACTTCAGTGTTTACCACAAAGAGGAAGGAGTGGGGAAAAATAGTCAGAGATCAAGAAGCCAAAATGAGAAGCCGAGATAGTGGCTGCTTTGAAAGTTTCACTTCACGGCAAAGAAGTTCTTCGTATTTTAACACGTTTGGTCTTCACGTACAGGATAAAAGATCCAGAGTCATGTGAAAATGTTTTCAGGGGACTCTCTACATTCCTATAAACATGCACTTTTTCACATGATTGTGAGGTCACTCATTGGTTTTGAGTTTTGCATTTAAAAGCTTTAACTTTGGTGTTTTTTGTCCACTGTAGTGTTAATTTAATTCTTTTTTTTTTTTCCATAAGAACTATAAGCTGCAGCCATATGCAGTACGGGTGTGCCGCACAGACACAAATATTTGATAATTAGTTCTACGTGAGAATTTTTTTGTTTGTTTGTTTGTTTATCTACAAGGCTGTAAATGTGTTTTTAATGCTGAAAAGTTGGGCATTTTAAGATGTGACTCTATAGGAATTGGCTTGCTTTGGGTGCCAGCCTCAGGTGACCACTAGAGGAACTGTACAGTCTGGAATTTCCATGGTTGTTTGTTTTTGTTTGTTTTGTGTTTTTAAAGAAGCAGCTATGCCACAAACAAGAGTGTCAAGAGACCAGTTGTATCACATGTTTTTGATCCTGCTAAAACATGTAGATAATGGTCTCCATAGCTCTGTGTGGGAACA